ATGTTCATTTTGTCTTTCTCTCCTTTAGGGTGTTGATGGGGGATGATCGGGTTAAAAATGGCCTCAATTTCATGTATGAGGCTCCACCGGGAGCATCTAAAGGTACGTACGAAGCACAACTCTATTTGTATACTCAAGAAAAACATAAATATCTTTGCCAAGATATTGCATTCACCTCAGAGGTGTGGCATATCAAGTTGCTGATTGTCATAAAAAGCCACTCAATTTGCAGTTTTATTGTTTATGCCACACCCGTGAAGTGGACGGATTGTTTCGACAAAGGAGAAACGCTCGCTAACGCAGAGACAAATTTGTTTATAGTACACGAGAGAAATCGGCCTTTTGTGTACATATAATTCGTGCCACATCTTTGAAATGGGCACAAAAACAAAACTTGTCTTTTTATTTTATGTTTTTATGTATGGTCGTTTTTATTTTTGTTCAGTCCTAATACTTGTTTTGCTCTTCCCCCAATTCCTGTCCCTGCTGCAGAGGAGAAAGCAGAGGTAAAGTTATTTCATTTATCATTTACATGCCAATTTCGCCCATTTGTATCCCTTTTGTTTCTTAAAGGAGGGAGAAGAAGAGTACAAATTTGAATGGCAGAAGGGAGCCCCCAGAGAAAAGTATAACACGTTTTGTTTTTTGTTTTTCCCCCCCCCCAAAAGTTTACGAGATGCCTCATGGTGATTGAACCGGAATTTTCATTATTTTTGCAGGTATGCTAAAGATGACATGAACATCAGAGATCAGCCTTTTGGAATCCAGGTGATTTGTCATGCTTACCAACAAAAAGTTTGACACATTTGATGTTTCAACTTTCTTATTGAACAACATTGAGCCTTTCAATCTGCCTCTGAAGAAATGTGACGCGGCAAAAGTTTACGAGATGCCTCATGGTGATTGAACCGGAATTTTCATTATTTTTGCAGGTATGCTAAAGATGACATGAACATCAGAGATCAGCCTTTTGGAATCCAGGTGATTTGTCATGCTTACCAACAAAAAGTTTGACACATTTGATGTTTCAACTTTCTTATTGAACAACATTGAGCCTTTCAATCTGCCTCTGAAGAAATGTGACGCGGTCTCAAGTTGTCCAGTTTCTTCATTTGTGTTCGATACGCTGTTCTGGAAGTCGAATGAATCGAATGCCAGGGCGACCTGTGTTGACTTTCCAGGTGCGCAACGTGCGCTGCATCAAATGCCACAAGTGGGGCCACGTGAACACGGACCGAGAATGCCCTCTGTTTGGACTGTCAGGCATCAACGCCAGCGCCATGGCGTCGGAGGAGGCAGCAGGTACGCTTGGACAGCGCCCGTGTTACTCAGGTTTATGGATGTAGTGAAAGAGGACATGAAGGTAGCTGGTGTGAGAGAAGAGGATGCACAAAACACGGTTAGATGGAGGCCACTGATTCGTTGTGGCGTCCCCATGAAGGGAAAAGCCGAAACAAAAAGAAGTACGGTATTAGTCCAAAACTGCACTGCATCACACACACTGAGGCCATGGCGTCGGAGGAGGCAGCAGGTACGCTTGGACAGCGCCCGTGTTACTCAGGTTTATGGATGTAGTGAAAGAGGACATGAAGGTAGCTGGTGTGAGAGAAGAGGATGCACAAAACACGGTTAGATGGAGACCACTGATTCGTCGTGGCGTCCCCATGAAGGGAAAATCCGAAACAAAAAGAAGTACGGTATGAGTCCAAAACTGCACTGCATCACACACACTGAAAAAAAGGAGTCAGTGTTTTTATTTTTGTACTGTTGTATCAGATTACATGTTCATGTGGAATTTTACCTCCCTTCTTTCCTCTTTTTTTTTTCCTTTCAAGTTACTCAATAAGAGTGTTGGACAATGACATTTGCAGTCAGTGCGCGGCGCTCCAGTCAAACACAAAGGGATGCAGAAGCTCAAGCCGTCACATTTTGCGCTTGAGCAGATTTGGAGTTGTGCAATCAGCAAGTAATAATGTTTCACCCCGGGAGAATCCAGTCAACGGCTCCATTTTACGCCACTCTAATGGCCGCCGTCCCACGGAAGAAGAAGAAAAAAATAGTAATTATTGTGTATTGTGCCCCCCAACCGCTGCTTTGCCCGAGTTTGAAATTGTCTGCTTTGCTCAGCCAGAAGTAAAGTGACTTCCAATTGATACGCGATCCCGTTAACAAAGCCGCCTCCCGAAATTCCCGCCGCGGCCACGAGGACGGCAGGGCCAGGTTTCCGCCATCAATGGCGCTGTGATTCTGTGATTTGCGCTAAATAGGTCCCTCCATGCACCCGTCGGAGCTCATGGCCGAGATGCGTAACAGCGGCTTTGCCCTCAAGAAATGCGTCCTTGATCGCAGCGCCACCATTTGTGATACAGCGCAGGTAATTGTCTCACACGCTCATTTTTTCACACACACACACACACACACACACACACACACACACACACACACACACACACACACACACACACACTAATAATGGTAGCGGTACTTAACCGTTGAAAAACAGTTCTTCAACATTCAAATGTGATGTATTGTATTTAAGTTAAATACAACTGAACTGTCTTTGAAAACCTATTTTCCTTGAAAAGGCAAGAATGTACCTTATGGCATGTCGAGGAAAAAAAAAAAAGGTTCAATATGCTGCATGCTTTGCTGCTGTGAATTGGGAATTTCTCCATTGCGAGACTAATAAAGGTTTTCTTATCTTATCTTATCTTATGAATATTGTACTATTTGTTTGAATTTACCTCAGGGTTCGTTTTGTAACCACTAGAGGGAGCCCAGTGACCTCTTGCAGTACTCGTACTCCACTTGGGCTATGTCCATTACTGGAGGCCCAATTCCGTTTTTATGTATTTATTTTATTTCTAAGCTGGTGGAATCGGAGAAAAAAAAAAGATAACGTAATGTCACAATAACCTGTTGCGTCAATGTAGTGTTTGAGAATCACTTCTGTAAATGACCAAAAAAAAATTATTTGGAATTCTGTTCTTGGTAGTTTTTAGAATGAAACCAAAATGTTCGTTTTCATCAATTGCATACGTGGACTCGAAGAGCTTTATTTTTATGTATGTATATTTGATCGATTTGTTTATATGGTATCGTGAGAAGTTAAGTGAGTGCAAGCCCCCGTTTACATCATCGTTCCATGAAACATGACAAGTGGAGGTGACAAAAGCCACAGATTCGCATTATTGTTGTCGTCTGATTTATGACTTATTGATTTTATGAATACGCCGCACTCGCTTGGCAGAGTTTTGGCAAGTTGTCGTAGAGCCAGTGTTTAGAAAGTTGATCATTGAAGTTGATGAACCATGCGTGAATATGAAAAGAGTTTATTTTTCTTTGATTGTGAGCCATTTGTTTCATAAATCCACTTGTGTTTATTGTCATAGATTATTCATTTATTGCTATTCTTTGCTTTAAAAAAATACAAGGAAAGGGGATCTTAAAAAAAAAATTATTAAATCGCAAATTGCTCATTTTTCAAAGTCGTTCAGCTCTTATATAAAGCGTAAGATATCTGGTATTGATTAACAAAACCGATAATTTGGTGGTGGTCTTTTCATTTGTATTTTTTTTCCCGGAGCTGCTTGTGTGTTTCTATCTTGTTGACCAAATTTTCTTTTCTTTTCTGAAAAGGAATATGTTGCGAGTGACCAAGAAGGAGATCCAGAGGTGGAATTTTTGAAATCTTTAACAACCAAGCAGAAACAGAAGCTGCTCAGGTAAAACACTTTAGACAACATGTGTATTCTCCCTTTTTTGCTCCTTGTTAAGATTGCCATTTTACTTGATTCATAAAGCATCTCCAGATTAAAAAAAAAACAAAAAAAATAGATTCCGATGATGTAGTGAAAAAGTACAACCACAATTATAAATGTGTTATTTCTCACCGCCTCAATCAAAACGGCAAATTCTGGTCCAAACACGTGCGACTCACCGACAGGAAACTCGACCGTCTGGAGAAGCAGAACTCCAAGAAAAAGACGAGCAAAAAGGAGAAGAAGAAAAAGAGCAAACGGAAGCACAAGAAAAAGCAGGAGAGCAGCGACAGCTCGAGCAGCAGCAGCAGTAGCGACAGCGACGACTCGTCCGGCAGCTCCAGCGACTCGGACGGCAACTTCAAGAGCCAAAAGAAGAAGAAGAAGAAGACGTCCGCCCGCGCGCGCAGCGCCGACAGGCCACATCAGAGCCGCCAAAAGGCTTCGGCCAGCCCGCACGACGGAGAACGTCGACACACGCGGACACAGAGAGCGAGAAGCCCCGAGGAGAGGAGGAAGAAAAGGGATCTGCCGGAGGGAGGTCGAGAACGCAAACGAGAGCGGAGCCGAAGCGGCGAGCGGCATCACAGACCAGACGCTGAGAGGAGGAGGAAGGAAAGGGCGCCGAGTGAGAGAAGTCGAAGCAGAGACAGAAGCAGAAGTCGCGTCAAGAGCAGTAAAAAACACTGAGGGCGCCTTTACAACTCTCAATACATATTTCTCTTTGAAAGGGTTGAAGAGCCGTGCAGTTTCCTTTCCCACCGTTAGAGGGAGGCAGTGGACAAAATATCTTCACCTCGACATGTTCAATTTAATGGACTCGCACAATATCGTGGATATGTGTTGTCTTTTTTTAAACTCTTAAATAATAATTCGTTATGTGTACAGGCATCTTTTGATGCCTTTAATAAAAAAATTCAACAATTCAACCGATTTTTTTTAACGTGTAATTGTGTTAAATGCATAGCGCTCATTGTGAAACGACGTAGTGCAATATTCTCATTATTAAATACTCCGTAATTGAACTTCATATAATCGATTTATTTTTTGTGTACACTTAATGTCCACTATCTTCGTAACATTGTTATCCACAATACTAACAACCCCCCGAGTTGACAATTACTCTATATAGAATTGAAAGCAAATATTGATATGGTGAGGGAGGAAACACAAGCGCAAAGCCGTCTTTTAAACCATTAAAATGATCCATTTTAAGTAAATCCAAATGGGGTATTTGATTTAATCGAACTTTCATCGGAACCGGTACAGTGGCGCACCACATGTAATGCAGTCTCTACATCCAATTCAACATGTGATGCTCATTCGTTTGTTTCTCGTTGGATTTAAATAGCTCCAAATATTTTCAGCAGATCGGATTTTCTGCCATTTGTCCACTGACTTTTAATGAAGAAAATCGGCCCACGTCTTTGCATTACGGGTTTTTATTCACACCCCCCCTACCGACCCTTTAAAAAATACTCCCGAGAGCATCTTTGAACCTTTTTAATGTAACATTTGAGGGACTCCAGCAAGAAGCATTTTTAAACGCAACATTTTCATCTGCTTTCTTGCCCCTAACAGTTTTTTTTTCAAATCCCAATCTTTTTCAAATTGTCCAAAAACAAATGTTTGAATTTGGACAATTTCCTTGACAGCTTCGTCATCAAAGTCCGTGACAACGAGAAGTGAACAAAAGATCCTTTTTGTGATTAATTACAGCTGTGATCAAGGCCGCATCCCTAATCTGAAATACAAGACACATGGGGCTGTGCATGTGTTCCAAGTCATAATTAATCGCATTTGCATTTGGCCATGGAACGCCCTTTTTACGCCACATTAAGCAATGATTTATTCTACGCGGCAGAAAAAAATCGTCTTTGTGAATTTGACAATTAAAATAAGCCTAAATAAATAAATACCCCAAATTTTCCATCACACAGTAAAAAGCCTTTTCAACGTGTTTTAATTATTTTTAAAATGAAAGTCTTATACGTGTGGATTTTTTTTACAGGTAAACATTTATATATAGATTTTTTTTTTTTGAGCAACAAAAATTAAAAAATAAAACGGAAAATCTGAAGAAACCTGTGCACGTACATATATCCACAAAGTGCATCGAAAAGTAAACTCCCTGACGTTCAGGATAGAAGCAACATGAACGAAAACAATTTTAAGAACAATAAGAACATGAAATGAGCACGTGGTCGTTGGTCATATACAAGATGCAACTCACATTGTCCCAAGTTCAACAGGTTACTCCTCACAATTAAAATACTGCCAAAGCGCGTGGAGGTGAGAGATCTTATTTCAGTTTTAAATATTCCCTTATTAAATACGACCCGTGTGAAGCAGTTCGGACGCGGTGGCAGGTGGGTCCTTTTTTCCTCATCAGGGCTCGTCGTGGGGGGACTGGTCCTTAACCGTGATCCTGGGGTTGACCCCTTCCAAAATAAGGTCCGGGGACTCGGACCTCGGAGTCTCCAGGTTGCTGGTGTCGGTGTCGCTGTCGCTGCCCTTCTTGCCTCCGCCCCCGGCCGTGTGCGTCTTGATGTGCTTGCTCAGGTGGTCGCTGCGCATGAAGCGCTTGTTGCACACCGGGCAGGCGAAGCGCTTCTCGCCGGTGTGGGTCCGCAGGTGTCTCTGCAGCTCGTCGGAGCGCGTGAAGCGCTTGCCGCAGAAGAGCCAGTTGCACACGAACGGTCTCTCACCCGTGTGCCACCTCAGATGCGCCTTGAGGTGCGACGTCTTACCGTAGACCTTGCCGCAGCCCGGGATGTGGCAGCTGTGCAGTCCCTTGCGCCGGAGGCTGGCCCCGGCCGGCCCGAGACGCTCGGCCTCCTGGCAGTTCGGGCAGTCGCACGTCGCCCGCCCGGAGTATCTCCGCGACGAGCGCGACGAGCCGCTTATCCCCGAGCCGCCCCCGGAGATCATGGCGTTGGCCGCCGCTGCGGCGGAGGTGTCCGTGTAGGCGGGCAGCACCGTTTTGAAGCCGTCCTGGGCCAACAGGTGCTGGCCGGTGGTCAGCAGGTGCGACGCGCTGGGGCTGATTCCCGTCGAGCTGAAGGCCGAGTGCGTGAGCGACGAGAAATCCGCGTTGTAGCCGCTCAGCTGCGAGTGGATGGCCTGCGGCGTGCCCGAGTGCAGGGAGCCCTGAAGGGGGCCCGCGGGGTTCTGGACGTCGAGCCACGAGCCCGGGTTGGTGTGCACGTCCCACCAGGACGACGCGCCGTTGGCAACCTCGCCGGAGATGCTGGAGTGGAAGCCGGACTTGTACCACGACTCGTACGGGTGCGCCATGCCCACCCGCGGGTACAGGCTCTCCGCGGAGGTGTGCACCTTGGAGATGAAGGCCGACTGGCCGGACTCCTGGCTCGACACTCCGCCGCCGTTGGTGAACAAGCCGCCGTACTCGCTGGAGAAGGCGGCCGATGTGGGCGAGGTGGAGGCCAGGCAGAAGGCGCTGCTGCCCGCGCCGCTCGTCGGCGGTAGTCCCGTAGGGGCGCGGCTGGTCGCCACCGCGAAGCCGGGCAGAGCCGAGCCCAAGTTGCAGCTCGACGTGGATCTCTTCCACGGGTGAAATCCACCCTTGGAGAAGGCGCTGGAGTCGGGCAAAGTGGTGAGTGGGCTCGTGTTTCCGATTTTGTTGCAGGTCGCAGCCAGCATTGCTAAAGGTGTCGTTCCAAAACGAGGCTCTTCCTGGAGGAAACACAACAAAGTTCCACTCACACACCCCGCGTGGACGTGTACCGTAACATTCGCCCTTTCTACTTGGACCGTACGTCGGATAACTTCTTTTTAGATGGACTCGCAAAAGTTGCCTCAAGTGCCACTTTGAAAACAACTCACCCCAAGAATGGAGGTAGCCATATCCAAGTTATGTCCCGGAGGTGGCAAAACGGGCGTCGATGTGAAACCTGCTCGGAACCGGAGTGATCCAGAGCCTCCGTGTTGTGGCTCGGCTCAACACGGGTTCTGTTGTGGCTCCAGTCTCCCGGCACTACTTTTAGTTGGAGAGAGTGTCTTGTTTTGAAGTGGGGCTCGCCGAGCTCCCGCAGCCAATCGGGAAGCGACTTCTGACAACGCGGAAGCTGTCGGCCAATCGGAGGAGTGAGCGCGCGTTGTGGAGCCGTAGGGCACGCCCACAAACCAGCTGCTTCTCAGCCTCAGTTCGGGCTCACAGAATACTGTACCACACTGGATTTGGCGTTTTTTAATGCCCTCCATTTGTTCTTTTGAATTCCTGCTCGAATATCCAACGTCATTTTTACCTCCTTTGGGGCAAGTTATTCAGAAGGTAAGCGTTTCTTCATTTATACTAGCTGCTCGTTCTTTTCTGTTGAGCATCTCCGTCAAACGTCATCAGGGAAATGTTGACAGCGGATGACTTCATCACAAAATTAAGTTATGTAAAAACACCAAACAAGAGACTCGGATTTTATTTTTCATTCCAAGGTATGAATTATTTGAACGGAAAGGAGCACAAAAAAAAGGAAGTTCGAGTCAAGAAGCCGAGAAATTGCTAATACAATAAATATGCAAGTGCGATGAGTGTTAGCGATGATTGATTTGCTGACGGGCAGTTACGTGTCCTTTATGAAATCAGCCACCTCATCTTCATGCTTTCGTGAGCGCGTAACATTGCCACGTGTTAACACGTGCATTATTTATTCCCCAAAAAGTTTTTTTACACGTGACGCCACGGAAGATATTCACACTATATTGGATCCACTTAAAAGGAGGCTTCATAAATCACAATTTATTACATATATCAAAATCTAACCCCCGTCCCCGTGAATCACCCTGAATGCTAAAGCAATTTTGCAAGGAGAAAGCCAAACCGAAGCATTTGCATACAGTATTCAAAACGAGCCTCATTATGGAGCATTATTGGTACCAGTCACCAAAACGTAATTGTTCAAATGATCCCTCTTAAATAAAAAAAAGAAACCAGACAAAATAAAATTAAAAATACACATGCACATTGTAAAGCTGAGGAGAAAAAAATAAATTCTGCCAAGGAAATGCTTTTTTTTTTTTTTTTTTGCAGTCATGGCAGTGGCAATTTAAAAGCATAATGCTCACCTTATTAAATGTCAATTTATTAAAAGAAATTACATCGTGTAAAATGCTTACCCGAAAGATAGGATTAACAGCTTTTTTTCTCAGATATTTAAAATAGGGCAATACAATTTATTTGTAAATATTTAGCATATTTCTATGACGTGATGCAGACTTGAGCGCACGTCTTAATGTGCACCCCACAGGGGCTTTGGGGCTTTTATAAAACAAATACAATAACAAAACTAAGACGTGCATAGATATACATAAAATAGTATTCATTTATTTTTCTTTGTTAGGCTTACTAAGTGATTTTGCAAATGCAAGAAAAAAAAATACATGTCGCTTCAGGACAAAAGAGGCCCCTCAGGTTGTGTTTTACCGCAGTGCTGGAGGGCTCTGCGTGCTCTCCATTTGTGAGCACTGCCGTGTGCCAATTAGCAGCCCATTACACGCCATTAGATTGATCAATGTACCTTAAACAAAGACATGATTTATTTGGGTGAACGAAACGCTCTGCATCCTTTGTGGTGAGTCTAAGTGGGGTGTGCGTGCCTTCACCCCCCCCCTTCCCCGCGTCCCCGAAAAAAATATTG